TTTTTACAGCCTATGAGCTAAGAACATTTTGACCTTTTTTTAATGGTTGAGAAAAGAATAAAAGGATGATGTGAAAATTATATGAAATTCAAATTTCAGTGTCTATAAATAAAGTTTTCTTGGGACACAGCCACATTTACTTACTGTTTGTGGCTGCTTTTGAGCCATGAGGGCAGGGTTGACTAGTCATCACAAAGACTATGTATAGCCTGCAAGGCCTAAAATGTTTGCTATGTGGCCTTTTATAAAAGTTTGATGATTCCTGCCAAAGAGGAGTTGTAACGATTTTTGAAAACATTAACATTTTCAAATTTTAGATCATTAACTCCATTCAGATCTTTTATCCTTAGCCTCTCCAATTAAATTTTGTTCTAATAGAAATGACTGGATATTAACATATTCTAATCATATTAAAAGAAGTCTTAACTTGCTCCTCATCCGCCTTCCTCAAGATGGGTTTCTTGTAAATAGCATTAGTTAGCTTCTTTTCTTTCTGTAGTAGAAGAGCACTAGAACGTTGTCTAAGACTGCCCCCACCGCTCTTGCTCCTCTGGGTTGGATGAAGGAGGAGCAGGGAACCAGCAGGAGTAAGTCTGCTGGACAGACAGTAAGGCAGCATCTGAACGATGCAGAGCACTTAGTAGTCTGAAATTTGATCTCTGCTGGGTAAGAGCAGTTTACCTGCAGGAAAGATTTGATGGGGCAGGGGTTAATGCCACATGGTTTCTTTTTCTTTGGAATCCAGTTGTCTGGTGAGTCCCCACCTTGTGAGTCTGAACAGGGGGTACTGAAGCTTGCTCCCTCTTGAGAATCTGGAAGGGCCAGATGCCTGCCTTCCTAGCCTCCCCTGCAGCCTCAGGTGAGGCACAGGAATTGCCTTGGGCTCTGGCTGTCAGGTACAACTGCACTGAACTGTGACCTGAGAGCTAGAGGTGCAAAGAAATAGAAATTGCCTGGAATCATTTCTGGAGAGCATGGTTGTAACAGCACCCATGACACCCATTGTTTAGGGGCAGCAGTGGAACCCTGTGTGAGCAGGGCAGCCCAGTACCCAGCATTGGTCCATGTGGTACACTCTGTCCAGAGGTGCAGGGCTGGGGGCAGACTTCCCCCGCTGGGCAAGATGTTGTGGCAAGCTGGGTTCTTTGTTAATCCTGCAGAGTCTGTGAACACTCCAATATCATTTATTAAATATCTCTTCTGCTTAAAATTAACCCAAGGTGGTAGTTTCGGTTGCTTGCATCTTAGAAACCTATGTATGTCAAGCTAAATAAAGAGCTCACTCAAAATATCTTTTTTTGATAAAATTTTTTAAAATTCCATATTTTGAAACTTACTGGAATTTATTTTTTTTACATCTTATGCTGTTCCCATTTTCCTTTTTATTCAAAAATGTCTTCTGCCAAGTACCTACCACATGCTGAGCACGTGGCTTCACATAAGCAGAAACACAAGCAGAAGAATGTGTCAGTGATTGGACCTAGTGATGCCCTGCTTAGAGAATGCCATACAATTTTTTTGGGTGGAATTTTCCTCTTGTTGCTAGACTGGAGTGCAGTGGTAGGATCTCGGCTCACTGCAACCTCTGCCTCCTGGGTTAAAGCGATTCTCCTGCCTCAGCCTCCAGAGTAGTTGAGATTACAGGCGTGTGCCACCACACCCAGCTAATTTTTGCATAATTAGTAGAGACGGGTTTTACCATGTTGGCCGGGTTGGTCTGGAACTCCTTACCTCGGGTGATCCACCAGCCTCAGACTTCCAAAGTGCTGGGATTACAGGCATGGGCCACAACGCCCAGCCAGTATATTGTTAATCTTTCTAATCAGGTTCGTTATATCTGTGTATTATGAACCATACTTGACTACAGTGAGGAACCCAAGAGCAACTTGGAAAGAAAAGAAGTCAGATTATCCTCTGAGAGTGAAACTTCAAACTCGAACAGGAGTCTACTTAACGGGATGGAGCGGCTCTGAATGTGTATGTAAAGAAAGGACATGACCATCTGAAAGGCCTGGTGAGCATGGAAGCAGCAGGCATATGGGCAGTCACAGAAGTGAAGCGGGCAGTTAGGCCTGGGGACCAGGCAGCATGGCTCTATGGCCTGAGTACCAGCTCCTGCTGCCAGCTTTGCCACCAATTTGCCAGCTTTGCCACCAGGTGAATCTGGCTGTCATAGTCTCTGGGTTTTCAGACCATGTAACTATTTTTATGAATTTAGACACACCAGACAACCTTCTGATTATAACTTAGATTTTCATTTGACCTGTACCTAGGAGAGAACACGTTACTTATGAAAGCTAGATATTTTAGTTTGCCAGTTGGAGTTCTGGTTTTACACATCAG